ATGAAGTGACACTAGAAAAGTCATGGTGACTTATCCATCTGAAATTATTTTCAGCATACTAGTCTAGCAAAAGGTGTCTAAGAAAAAGATTAAAATGAAAATTTGGCTATCACTAAGTAAATAAACGGGGGGGGGGGAAGTGTCATTTCATTATTTTCAGAATGTGACATGGACTTTTTTCAGTCATGGAAAAGATCCAAGTCAATTGTTCATTTTTAGTGTTTTTATATTTTTATAGATAAAATAATAATTCACAGTTACCAAATGTGTAATTTGAAGATGAGAAGCATTATATTCATGATAAGAAATTTAATGTATAAAAGAACAACCAACAAATTGAATAACTTTCCATAATAATAATTATAATTTAATCATAATATGGTTTTTTTAAAGTTTTCATATAAAAAGGTGATACATATCTATGGCCCCCTTAAAAAAAAGATATTGCAAAGTGTGTTCTTTATTTATATAGTAACATAAACAAACAAATGGAAATGACAGTTTAAGTAGCACATATATGTAGCATTGACAGTAAAATTTGTTGTATAATTTTCTCATTGCATACAATTGTGCAAGGATTCCTTAATGACTTTAAGACTATTCACATAAAAATGGCTTAAAAAATACAATAAATAAAATACACACAAAATTATTTATCCCACAGTAGCATTTTACTGTACATCAAATAAATAAAAAAAATATAATTAAATACAAATGATATTTACATAACTCAAATAAATAAAGACAAAATAAATATCTACACAGCTGTTAACACATGTAGCTATGAGACTAAAATAGGAGTAAAAATGATTAGATTCAGTGATAATTTTGACCAACAGGATATCCACAAAATTTTTTGGTCATGTACATAAAAACAATAAAGTTGATATGGCAGTGTTGAAGATTAACTAGTTTCTTATATGTTTGCCATAATTCTGAAGACACAGAAAGCAATCTATAATAAAGAAATAATGGCAGTGTTAGAACTTGACTTAAGCTGTCTTGAATTTGTCATAGTTTCAACCAACAGGACTTTTCAAAAATGGTCCAGAATACTCTGATAAGATGTCTGAGAATGAAACTTAAAATTCATTAGTGAATTACATAGTTCTTGGAATTTTGAATTTATTTCACATAAATGAATAATTTTTATTTGTAAAAATTCTAAGAATATATATCTAATATATGAATTAACTGAGATTGATATGATAGAACGTGGTGATTATATCAACAATCATGGGGGGGGGGAAGTCATGAATTAAAAGTACATATTTTTATTTAAATTATTAGACAATCATAACATTTGATACAATTTTTAAAATTAAAATAAAAGACCATAATTCGCATAAAATAAATAAGTAAAATTCTAAGACATTAATACATATAATTAGGGATGAGTCACTCAAAACTTTGAGCCTTTGAATCTGACAAATTTTGACAAAGACTCAAGGTTTGAAATATTGCAGTTTTTAAAATATGTATCCTTTAAATCATTACCTAAAAATCATTGAATATTTTACCTCAAAACTTTATGAAAATTATTGCAATTTTAGTGGAACCTGGAACATTAATTTACATTTTATGGTGGTTGAGTATTAAACTGCAGATGTGCTTTTATAAACAAGTTCTTTTCTTCTTTAAACTTTTTTCAATTTTCTGCAAAGAATTTAACATTTATTTACATTAAGTCTTTTTACATTATTAACATTTATTACAAAAAGTTCTTTCCCCTTTATACAGACTTTGCTTAGAAAAACTCTAGAAAAAAATCTGAATTGGCACTTATTTTTCCCCAAATTATATCTTAAAAATTAACTTTACAATTCAAGAGTTTTAATTATGTATTTTACTTACTAATTTTTTTGCATATTTTTAATATATGAAGTATATTACAAATTGTTCTTAAAATTTTAATGTGAATTTATTTTTCCTTAAATGCATATTTCAATTTTTTTGTATAATTAAACATTCTTTATATTAACTTAATATTTTTTTTCATCATTAATGTTCTTATATGAAGGATTTCAGAGATTCGGAAACCTTTCAGAATTTATCGATCACAAATGTCAATAGAACAGCAAGAAAAAGTAATTCACTTCAACCTAATAATTATTTATTGACTTGCATTACTCTTCATAAAAATACAAGAATATCCAAATCTATCATTAATTTTCCTCCTAGACACTGTAAATATCATACAATAAAATTTTAATTAATTATAACATGGCCAAAAAAGTGCTTAATTTTTGTGAAATCAACTACTTTAAAAAAAGAAATACAAACTACGATAAAATAACACTCAATGTTGATATATTCACCACAATATGTATTCATGCAGAACTAAGTTAAGAATTCAAAATTATGAAATGAAATTTTAAAATCATATTGAATGAGAGTTCAAGAATGTTTTCAGCTATTACAAGTATTTGAATGCTTCTACAACATTTTTTGTCTTCATTAAAGGCATTGAGGACAGATAGTTACACCAAACGAATTCCTTTTCTGTTTGAAAGAGCAATCTCAAACTCTCATTTAATCATTGCTCCCTGGTTCTTATTGTACTGAAAGTGTTAAATATCAGTTTTTTGTCTGAGATTTTATCATTTTTGTAAAGATGATTGATGTTTAACGGTGGGTAAGTACAGCCAGAATTTCTCAGAGAAATCTTTTTTTTCCTTAACTTTCCATGCATAATTTTACTTCATTACATGTTTAATTCATGACACTGAAAAGAATATTATAATAGTTAACTAAGCATGCCATTGTAAGAAAAAAAATCTTAGATATTTCATGCAAAATAATACTGCATATCATCTCGAATTTTTTCTAAGCAAAAGGTGATTCCAATAACTGCAACCATGTAAGACATTTTTATTTTATGGGTAAAAGTAACTGAGATCCACTTCATTAAAAGTTTTTGATGACTTAATTATTTACATTAGTACAACACAACATACTTTGCAATGTTATGAATAACCAAAAATAAACAATATTTCAATAAGAGAGTTTCATTGAGGGATAAATGCTTTTTAAATTCGTACAAGGTCGGAAACAGAAGAAAGCTACAAATCTCAATTGAGAATTGTTAAATATATTTGAATTTACAACATTTTCCAGATAAATGATTAAAATGAGTGCCAGCTACAAAACATTAACAAGATAAAAAGAATAAAATTTTAATATTTGAGAACATAAATGTACAGGCTTAAATAAATTTTACAGAAAACATTTTTGTTTCCAAATAAAAAAGAATTAGCCTTGAAGAAATTTAAGACTGAATAAGAAACCAATTTTAGGGGGAAAAAATATTTTGGCTTAAAAAAAAAAAAAGAGGTCATGTATAATTTCTGCTTAGTAGAATTTGGTTACTAACTTGTTCCCACTCCCAAAATGTTACAGTAAAATATACCTTGTTTTCTTTAAATGATAAGAAAGAATGCTTAAGGGCAGTTCAAGTAATTCTTGTTCTGGATGCTCATTTTAATGCAAGCACAGACAAGCAAAACTAAAAAGCTGCCCATGAATACTTCAGAACACACTGAAAAATCAACTTGGTAAAAATAAAATATTTAAAAATACAATAACCTGGGAGGGGAGGCACTGACCATAGAAAAATAACCTACAACATTTATTTTATTTGATACTAGCAAATCATATCGAAATCGGAATCATCTTTTGCCAAGAATAATTTCGTATTTCTCCTACCCGTGAATCTGTAAATCAAGAAATGATATAAAAATAGACATGTATTAAAAAAAAAAAAATTATTTTACATTAACACAAACTTTTTCATATTCTAAGTAAAAATTAAAATATAAGTTCATAAAATATATGCATGAAAGTTAAAAATTTAAATTAAAAACTAATCAAGAAAGGCAAAATATTGATAATGAAAGAAAATTTCAGCATTTTTTTAATACACACAAGGTTACCAATAACACAGATAAATATAAATATCAATAAATTATTTAGCTGTGTTTTTAAGAATTAAAAACTTAACTGTGTACTTAACTAATTAAAAATATATAAAAGAACATTAATATTGACTGACTAGAACAGATACTTTCTAAATTATTAAATGACTGTTACATTAGAACTGCAGTTTACCTCTTAAATTAATTATCAAAGGAAACAGCTTAATTAAAAAATAACTCATCAGATCTAAAACAGAATCTACTAGTAGCAGTCGTGCATTACACTTAAAATGAAATATTCCAGATAAAAACTATATATTAGCAATATGGGCAAATTATGCGCACAAAATAAATAAATAATTTTCAATCTTTATGAATCAATGCCCTCCTCTCATCATATGTCAGAATGTTGTATTATTCCCTATACAAACTTTTTGATTCAAGTGACATATTTCAAATGAAACATAAAACTGAAAATGTTTTTGTTTAGTAAGTATTAACTAAGACATTTTTGTAGCTTTTTTAGGCTTGCATATTTAGGGGATTTAACTTTTTCAGCTCTTTCGGGTCACATGATTTTAACCATGCCTTAGCTGCAACCTTTTCATTATCATTTCTGCCTTTCGCTGTACATCAGGAGACGTACCTCTGAAGAAGGTTCACTTGCAGATATATTGCCTGACAGCATTTCATCTACACCGGGAGATTTCATTTATAAGTTCACCTAAGCTACTAAGCCAAAGCAGATGACGTTATTTGTATCTAATAATTGACCTCCATTGATGTCACAAAAAACATAGTAATTCGCAAAGTTTAATGCCTTTGAACTTGTTTTTAAATAAGTTTATTTAGTCTCGAGGTGACATTTTGCACTGGATCACAAAAAAACAGAGTATCACTTTTTAAATTGTTGCCATCAAATATTATTACCCTGTATTAAATTAAATCATGAAGAATTTGCATGAATATATATATATATAATATAAAATGGTATTTATATAATAAATATAAAATATAAATCTTATTCTATATTAATTATATAAATTAGTATATAGTAATTAAAACTGATATAAAATTTTATGTATAATAATAAAATAATTCAAAATTATTACGTGTTACAAATACAAACTTTAATAATTTTTATATTAACATAACTCTGTTAATTACAGAAGTAATAAAACATTTATATTCAGAGGAAACAAATCTGAAAATAACTCAGCTGGCTCATGGAAAACTTACACACTTTGGTAAATGTGCCAAGCAATTGATATAATTAGACCTATTTCAAAAGTTGAAAAAATCATTAATAGTAGATATTCAGAAATTTAATCAAATACAAATAGACAATAAATTAAGTTTTCCTCGTTTGCCAGACTTCTCAATTTAAATTCCTTTAAATTGGAAATATTCTACCATATTTAGTTATATAAGCCAACAAATGAAGTAAAAAATATATCACTCTATAGCTCACAAAAGCAAATCTCTTGTATCAATATGAAAAAATATTTTATTTCTAAAGAAATCAACTGGAAATAAGATCCAAAAGAAATAAAACATCATAAATTAAATTTGTTAAAATAATAAAAAGATCTCCAAATGATTCATGCCACATCATTCAGTAAGCTTAATGCTGAGAAAAACCACCACTGCTTTTCTGACAAATGATTTTAATATGCAATTTCACTGACTGTTGCAAAAAATATCTCCAGCAAAAATGTAGATAGCTGTTTGAAGATATGTCTCCTTGTGTTGATGGGACTTAAGACAGAAAGAATCTAACCCTGAAGTCAAAAGTTGCTCCCCAGTTGATAAAATCTGCCCTAGATAAACTTCACCAAAAAAAGTTAAATTATTCTCTTCACTCCCCCCCAAAAAATTATTTAATTATTTACTTATAAAGCATGTGACACTAAAAGTATGTGTGGATTTCAACACCTTTTCTTTTTCATATTTTATTTTTTGTTACAAGTTTTTCTACATTAGTTTTATTTTAATTTAGCAGTTTATTGTGTGCTTGCGTATGGACACACAAAAATTATAGGCAAAATAAAAACACAAAGTGATTAGCCAAATACTCCAGCATACTTGATGAATATTAATTTCATATCTCATATTAATCCTGATAATCAATTTCATATTTTTTAACTCTTTTTACCTTTAACACATTGACTGCCATAGCAAAATCAGATGAAATACTCTGTTGGACAATTTTTTAATTCTAGTATTTTCTTGTCCCATTTATCCTCAAAATCAGTTTAGTAGCTAGTTTTCATTTGAACTTGTTACTGTTTTGTTCATTTTCAGTTGCATGATTCATAACTTCCATATCTTTTGTATTTAAAAATAAATTACAACTTAATTCACTATAAAATACACAAGAATTCATTGTTTTGAGTGCAAAATGAGACAAATAAGTAAATTACAATACAAATAGTAAAACAGCATACATAACCAAAAATGAACAACTTAGTGAATGTATGAACATCTTTAAATGTACCACTAGTCACATATTCCTTTAATGAACAACATAATCCCCTTTAATTTCATCTTTGTTCTCTTACTTTCACATAAAAAATAATTAATTAAAGGTTTCTGCAGCAAAATATATATTAAAAACATATTACAATTTTTGGGAAAAACTTTCAAAAATCAGAAACCAAGAATACGAAGTAACTTTATGAGACTGTAAAATAATTTTAACCATATAAATCTGTGTGTTTAAAAAGCATTGGTGACTCGCATATTTAAAATACAGCGTATATTACTATACAAACGGTTCATTTAGATCAGACTACTACTAGAATGTTCTATTTTAGAGATGCAATCTTCTTGCCTCTGAAAATTTAAGCAGATGTTTAATTAAAAAAAATATATATATATATATATATATACTAAATATTATTATTGATTACACAATACCTTAAATTTTTGTTGGTATTATTTAATATAAAGCACTTTGTAAACAAAAAATAGGAAAGTTTTATGTTCTTAAATATGACAAAATGTGCTATTGATATAACTAAATATGAGGGACATAATAAAGCATAATGTTATATACACATATATTTTAGTGCATCTAGAAATACTTAAAATAAAAGCATTTTATCTATATAACATATTTACCATAAACTACATTTTTTATTCCTAAAATGACTAAAACATAATGAGATTGAATATGATTAATAATTAAGCCACTATATAGAGCATTTTGACTTAGATTACACATAAATGCACACAAAAAATGTAAGAAGGACTATATTTATTAATGACATACCTATTTGTTATAGCTACATTTTAAGTTCACATATTAATAAAATCTAATATACACAATAAAATATAACAAGCTACATTAGCATTTGTTTATAAACTGATTGGATGAACTATCCCTTCAATCAAACAAATTTATTTAGCACTCATGAAGTAAATATATACTTGAGTTGACATAGTCAAACTTCAAGTTATAATTTCAAAACATTATGAGGATTTGCAAGCAAGTTTCTGATTAAGTATGAAGTTGGACTTTAAACTAGTTTGAAAAATCAAAAGTTTTATTTACATGTAAACCACTGGTAATTTCCCTGAATATTTTCCACTAATTATGATTAAATAACAGCTATTCTCTACATAAGCACTTTGTTACACTGACTACAAATAACAATAAATTTAATTTACCATAAATTTAAAATTCACACAAATATCATTAATAAAACTATCATATGTTAATTATTTTCTTCTTAGTAATAGAAGTAATGCTTCCATGAATTAAATGAACAAATTATAACAAAAAATTATTTTTTATTTTGAAAATGAGTTGTAATAAAACTCAAGATTTTTTTATTAAAAAAAATTCATAATCAATTGTAGGTTTCAAAGATCTTGATCTGAAACTAGCTTTTTAAAAATAAGCTACTGAATATAACCAGAAGTGCTTTGCTTGTGATATATTTATACTACAAACCTAATCAAATAAGCAATTTTTTAAAAATAAATATAATCATAATCAAATATTTTTTACTTCACCCATATTCTTAAAAGCTTGAATTTTCAAAATATTCAGATGTGCAATTTTAAATACAAGGCATGCAATAGTTTTTAACATATTAATATTTATTTACTTGGATTCAATATAGAATCCTTTTTTTTAATCTGCATTTTTAATGACACTTAAAAATTAAACAATAATCTGAGAAATGACTGGCATATAATGATAAAAACAGTTACTGGCCTTATCCATGGCTCTAGGCAAACTTTCTGTAGTGAATTAAAGCAGTGCTTAGGTGTTTGTACTATTTATCACAGATATGAATCACGATATTTCTTAGGAATGACAAGTGAGATTCTGCGGTTAACAGCCGTCTATCACCACTACTTTAAGCACGAAGGGAACCACCAGAAAAGGACGGAGCGGCAAGACAAAGCAAATTTTGGCACACTCATTGCATAACCTATTTAACCTGCACACAGTTCCAATTTTTCCAAATGAAAAGCAGTAACTACATCTGTGCCCCGTCTAGCCATTGATTCATTATCCATAATTTAACGTGCCCTTTATTTTTTTATTTAATATGAAAGAAATATATACTTTACTAGTTAAATGAGAACATAATTCCAATTATGTGTGGAAATACAGTAACCCAAATTTATTTACTTCTGTCATCAGACAATAATTCTGACCACAGATGCACAATTTTGGCTAATGTTCCATTGCTCAATGCGTAGAAGGAAAGTAGGAATTTTCTGCGCTGTATCAAGTTAAAATAGCAGAATTCCTTAATATTTACATATAAATGAAAAACTTTAACATTAATGAGAAAGCGAGAGAAAGGAAAAGAAATAAATTAATTGTAAATATACAATATATCATATAATAAACTTTATTATTAAAGCTGGTAATATCTTAATAAAAAAAAAGGTGTCAAACTTCTCAATTAAACTTATATATTTATTTATCTTATTTATATGTGCTTTTGAAATATATAATTTTATATAGTGTGTACAATCTATAGTTCCATATTATTACAGTAAATGTTGGAATGCACTGCCTGTGAACATAGGAGGCACTACTGTATTGATTTCATACAATATGGGAAAAGAATTTTAGTCAGGAGAAGGAAAAACACTTTTAAGCCTATATACAAAGTGCATTGCCTTCCATCTATAAATTTTATCCACAAAAAGTTATATCAAATTTTTAGTTCTTCACAATATATTTCAATATTAGTGTGAAATCTATACAGTATACATTATTCTGTAAACAGAAGAATATTTATGTTATCTATTGAGTGCACTCTTCCTCCAAAAATATATTCTGGTTTTACCTTCAGAAAACATGATGTATATTAATTATTTTTATACTAAAACAAGTTTTATGTATTAAAACTTTGTGCATTTTATGCAGAAAACTTAAAACTTATTTTTTTAATCAAGATATTACTAGATTGCATATAGAGAATTAAAATAACTACACAGCAAGGTGGGAAAACTTAAATACTTAAAATTATACATAAAGAAAATATATGAAAAGATGAAATATACCCTGAAAAAATAATCTGATGTTAGGTCAAGAAATATAACTGAATTTTTTTTTATCTAAAAGAAATATATGATATAATATGAACATGAGAAAAGCTACAGGTTTTCTGGCATTGGTTTAAAATACTGAAATGAAGTAATTGGAAGGGAAGGAGGGATTTTTAGTCTTAACACAATACCAGTTACTTTATATTTAAAAAGTGTCATGAATTTGTTAGCAAGTAGTTTATACTTTTAACCTGAACTGAAGCTTTATTCCATCGTGCATTCAATGCATAAAGATATTAATTTTATACATGCAAAGCCTGCACATGAAGCTCATTCTCAAGCACATGTGCACTTTAAACATCAACAATGCAAGTCAACATTCCTTCTCGATATTTACATAAAAAAAGGTTATAAGTTTTCATATAATGTGCCATAATTTCAAAATCGCAAGACTGCAACATGCAGTAATTTTGGGATAAGCTTTAAAATTCTTCTTGGAAACAACCCCTTTTTTTTGCATATTTTACAATATAATTTTTATAATTTGGGCTATTATATTTCACATGAATATATTTTTGATATTTAACCATATATTTATATATTTTTATAAGAATGCCCCTTTAAAATCAATTTTGATTTTCCAGTTACTTTAATGGAAACTTAAAACCATATAGTTTTATAATGCACAGCAGCAATAGGCCATTCTTATTTAAGACATCTAAAATATGAAAAAAGAAAATTTCTTACTGTACACATTACTTAAGTGTAGTAAACATGAAAGTGACACCAACAGATAAAATTTAAAACAGTTAAAAACTGAAACTAAAGCAGCAGACATAATTATTATCCCATGAGTGCATGTATGCAGAGCAATAAGCAGCAGGTTTGAGTAATGCAAAACAGTTACAAGCTCACAAGATTTAAATTTTTAATAACAAATAGAAACTTATATGATAATGAGATGATCATTACAGGAGGACTGAACAAATAATCAAAAACCAGGGACCAAAAAAGGGGGGAGGGGCATAAACTTTTTAAGAAAATGAAATAAAGGAAATACACACTTTCCTTTCAGAAAAATATTAAAATATTTTAAAGTTGTGAGTTTAGTATTATATTGCAATATTTAAACTTAGATTGCATTCTAACATATTCATACCATAATATTGATGAAACAGGAAATTTTTTGCATTTTGAACATTGTAACCAGAAAATGGCCTTACTCTGAGCAAATAAAAAGAGAAGAGAGAAGAAAAGGGGGATTTTTTTACAAACTTTTAAATAACATAAAACTGTATGAGAAGAAAAACTGCAATAATGCAAAATTGTTATATCAATAGACGTACACAAAATTTAGGATTTTTGAAAATGGTCAGACAACAGAAAAAGTAAAATTATAAATAAGCTGAATGTTACTTAAAAATAATGTTTTTTAAATAAAATTCTGAACCAAAATGTTAATATAAATTTAAATGAGGGGAAATACATATATATAATAATATAGATTCACTACAAACCTAAAAGGCTTTACGCCTAATAAAACAATATTTTAATACATATTAATATCTAATAAAATGGTATCTGAAGAATAATCTTTACAATTAATACTCAGTTTGTTTAAAAGATAATCATATATTTCACATATTTGAAGAAATATTTTGTTCAAGTGCAAAAATTAAACCCTTGGAATGAATATACAGAAAGCTTTTACTTAATTAAAAAACAATTCTGATTTTAACTCATTTCAAATAAAATATATAAATACTCCTTTGGAAGAATAATAAAAATGGAAACTGAAGAAAGTCGGACTGTCATGTCACTGATGCTCAAGACTCTTGCCAATGAGAGACACAATCTTTTACACCTTGACACAATAAAACTTGTGTAATGTGGGCCTGCTCTGATTAGATAATACAAGTGAGATTAGTCACAATAACAACAAAAATATGAAAATTAGGTAATTTATTTTAGGACAGAATGAACGAAAATAAAACAAACTGCTTTATTTTACACATGCAAACAAGACAATAAAAAAAATTCTGATTTTGGTCCCTGGTTTAAATGAATGCTGATATTAGGTTCATTCAGGTATACAGCTTTTTGGTAATCTGTTTTTGCATTAGAAATTTACTGAAGTTACTTCATGCCATAGACATTAGGAACTAACCTTGACATCTTGAACTAGGCAAGACATTTAATCTATACATATAATCATTGCTGTATAAGGATTGTAAATGTGATATTGCTCCTTATATCTGGACTTTAAATAAGGTGGTTCCCAGTGTTCAGAAAATTAATTGGTCCGACTGAAACCGCAGGATCTAATATTGTAAAGAACCTACGGATTTGCTGATGTGATACAAATAAAGATGTGAGGAGCTCTCAGAGCAATTTTATATAACTTAATTAACTATGTATAACATTATTTTGCTACAATCAGAAGCATTTTCCACTCCTGAAAATAGACATCTCAATGAAAGGGTACAAAGGCACTGGCAAAATGTTTTTATCAATTTTTTCACATACTTTTTGTTGCCTTCTTTGTGCCCACTCCATTAATTGCTAATTACACTTTGCAATAAATACATTAACAACAAATTTCTCCTTTCATACAAATTGCAATTGCATTTTGCATAAGATCAAGCTACATGTTTCAAATAGAAAATCCACTACTAGAACAATCTCATTTGTTGTGACTCATAAATATTTTTTTAAAGCATGGCACTTGCAGGAACACATTTCTCTCTTTATAAAAGAACATTTTATTTTCGGCGATGCTTGACTCGTGGGACATCACATTCTTCCTTCAGCTGAGGGTCAAGTAATGCAAGAGATTCCAATGGCAGTGATGAATAAGGAACTCTCTTACATTTAATCACTGATTCTTCTGGTACCCAACTATCAGGTAAACTAAAAAGAAAAAAAAAAGTTCAAATCAATGCCAAAAAAAGTTGCTTTAAGATGAAAAGTTAAACAGATTGAAAACTAATAGTGTAAAGTCATAATCAGAAGAAAAATGGGCTTCAAGTAAAACTGAAATTAGTTTTTAGCAGCTCCGGAAACTGCATACAATTTGTACAACTACTCAACGAAATGCTAAAAATTAAATTTTACATTTACAACTAGTATGAATTATTTGAAATTTATCTTTAGTATTATATAAGTCTATTACTGAGATAATTAAATGTAAATTATATTTTATCTGGAAGAAGAATTTTATGCTGATGTACATGAGCAATTAGTCATAACATTATGATACACTAAATTTCTATACTCAATTCTAAGTTACCAAAAAATATACATAAAATTGTATTTCTATCAATACTTATTACTTGTTTGTTTTAAACATAAGTACAAATCACAACAACTTTACTTTTTATCAAAATGGTATTACTTACTTTAATAATCAACTAGTTATTTAATATAAACATGCATGAACTTTGATCTAATTACATAATATAACTGAGGAAAATTTAAATTTCAGTTGAGAATTACAAACAGCTTTTAGCCTAGATTTCAGTTTCATAGCATTTTACACATATTACATGAAAGCTTTTTAACATCAATAATTTGAAAAACATTTATTATTGTTGACATCTTTTGTATCAAATTACAAATCATATATATATCCTATTTATTCACATTACATATAACTTTAATATTTCATGCATTTAATATTTTGTAAAATTTAGGCCATGAATTAGCAAGTACCTTTCCAGTGAATTTTGAATAATATTACAATCATATTGAATACTAATTATAAGAGTAACTAAGATTACACTAAACTACAGTGGAACTAAGTGGTGATACTAATATAATGGAAATAAGTGGCGACGCTAATGCAGTGGGTTTCACTATAAATATACAGAGACTAAATGCTGAAAGGTATAAGAAACAGATGAAGCAATTTTCTGCATTATCAGGAATTTTCTCTGCAAGTAAAGGAGATGGAAATGAATTACATTATAATGTATTACACTTCTTTATGCTCAGTTGTAATATTTATGAGAATGGAACAGTGATAAGAAAAATCACCTATGTAAATGTATTATCTAATATTTATTACGTTTACAGGTAAAAATTCCAACCACATTTATTTCCTGCTCATAAAATACAATGAATAGAATATTGTCATAGACAACCATTACTGAAACTGAACATTATTTTTTATGAACATAATTATACAATAATTATAAACATCATTAACAGTCTTGCTCTCTAAAGCAGTCACCTCTGAAGAATATAAAAACTGTTTGGAACCATTAGTAATGTATACGAATAAGCATTGGTAACGGACATACATTTACAGTTTCCAGATTCACACTGTACAATGAATACTTTCAGAAGCATATCTTAATATACTCACTTAAATTTTATATCTTTCTTTTAATCATTAGTCATTTCTTTTAATCATAGTCATTTCTTTTAATCATAATTTTATATCTTTCTTTTAATGCATACAGTGCAAGCATTAAGGAAACAAAAAATTTTAAGGTAATATACAGTAAAAATTAAACATGAAATTAAAAAAAAAAATTGTTAATTCAATATATTTTTAAGAAAAAAGACATTTACTATTAAATAGATTGCTAAAAAATACTAAATTTCTTCTCTCAAATACCATAATTACATTAATTTTAATAATTAAATCTGAATCATGTCCTTTCAGTTAAAAAAATTATAAAATGGAATTAAAAAATCCAATTCAGATTACTGGTTTTATATCTGTAAGGCAAGTAAAGTGTAACATGAAACAAATAAGAATAAAAACATACACATTTTCAGGTATCCACTGCAATAAAACATTGACTTTTCCAGATTTCTCTGTTCTCCTCGCTTTAATCTAAAATAACATAATTGTAAGAAAATAATCAGTTTAAATATATGGAGGGAAATATACATATAGATAAATATATTTAACTCTTAAATTAAAAATAGTTTATTCTGAAAAATTTAAAAATCCTTAAATAACTTTTCACTTACTAGAAAATACAAGTGTACACACACTTATTCTTTCTAGTAAATTTTTTAAATTATTGAAAATAAATAAAAAATCTCCACACTCTGAAGACAGATAAATACAACTATATTTCCTGTAAAATAATTAGTAACTAAAGCTGAAAGTTAAAAGTGAGACTGAATAAAAGTAAAGGAGGATGTATTAAGTTTGTTTAATGTAAAACAAAATGCTTCAAAGATAGTCAATGCAATAACTTTGCATACCGTTAACTTCCATTTGAAAAATGTTTCCAACATTTTTTGCCGTAAATTACCTGTATTAAGAAAAGAGTTAGAAAGAACAGAGTGAAGGAAAAAGTGTAAAATAATCTTCCTGTGCTTAAGAAAAGTTTCCTTGTGATTCGTAATATTATTCAGTTATGATTGCCCTGTGAAGAGAAACAATCTTAGTAACAGAATAATAAAGACAATAGAGAAAATGCATTTTCTCTCCAAAAGAAATGTTATGAAAATAGTTATGATATGTAACATGCAAAATACCCATTTATTACAAAGTGCAAAATATTTCATTCATTACTATTATATTAATAAAAAATATCAAATTAATAGCAATGCAAATAAAATTCCAAAGTACATGTGAAAAAAATAAAACAAAAAGTTGTAGTTTATACATTAATCTGAACTACAAAAGTTAAATTTAAAATGCGTATATGATATGTATACACTGAGTCAACAACAGTCAATAACTGGCCATTATTTTAACAATTGTTTGTCATATACATATACTTTCAGTAATAAAAATGTTTTATGTGATACAAATATTTATGTTTTTGCCTTTATAAATTTAAACAAATTAATTTTGCAATAATTATAACTTTTACAGTTTCCTCTGGTTCTTATGCTTACATTTTTGAAAATTTTATACTTGTTATAAATAATAAAACACAAATTTTTCCCTCCCAACTCACAAAAACTTACCAAGATATTTGATATTAAAATCATATTCAGGGGTCATACACATAATGAAAAGTGAAATATTTACAAACGTAGATAACTAAAACTATATTATCATTCTAGGGAAAAGATTCTGAAGTTGAGGGATAAGCGATGAGCCGCAGAGAGATTATTATGAAAAGTACTGATCGCATCGTCTTCAAAACAGAGATCTTTTTTACAGAGAAAACACTGGCAAGGTTTAGTTTGCATTAATTAAAAACGAAAAATACTAATATTTTTATGAATTTCTGCATGTGTACTGGATTATGATTCTCAAGTAAAATAATTTTAAGAATTTTAATAATGTATTTTTAACTATAAATTACTTGTGTAAAAATTCTTTCAACATACCAAATGTAACAATATTATAAATTTAAGTTAACATTAGTAAATCACACAAGAAAATCATTAAATAACATTTAAAAGTTAAAAAAAAAAAAAAAAATCAACCTCAAATTATTCTAATGTATTTACTACTGATCACTCAATGCAAATTGGAAACAACATCAAAAATCACAAATTTTGAAAATAAATATATTGATTAATTTTTGCATACAGAAGTTAAAATTTTCATGTTTTATTTCTTATGACAAGTACAAAATTTTTATACATATGGATCACAGGAATGCATAAAGTTAGTTTGCAATTTTTACAAAACTAATTTCTTCAAGTTTAAAAATGCCAAAACACGAATCTTTGCAGCATTTAAAACATTTTTGTAATTGGAAATATATGTTCAAACTGAATGGTTGTGAAAATAAAGGCCAGTTAAAAGCTTTTGTGGATACAGTGTGTGTATATATATATATATATATATATGTGTGTATTGCTTTTTACATTACGCACATACAGAGTTGAACTTTTTAATATTAAACATGGATATAATGCGATCACTTGGGGGTCATGCAACAAGCTGACCACCTGTCCAGAGTATATGCTCATGCATCCCGGGGCCCTTGGTCAAGAATGCAGATATCAGGGCACTGCAGGCCATGGCTTACTAAGAGCTGCTGTACCAGCCAGTTTAGTTTTTTTTTTTATAATGTGATCATGAATACAAGAATCTTGTACAAGAAGTCAAATTCTGTACAAAAAAAATCTTGTACAAGAAGCCATGCTAATTTTAATTTGTATTTATTTCTACACGTACGCAGAAATATTTGTACATATTTCTGTATTTGTACTTATTTAATTTGTATTTATTTCACTATAGATATGTGAAATGCTATTTAAAATGAGGAAACTTTATTACTTTCCCTCTGCTTGCTAAATGAATTTAACTTTTTACACAAACACATATGGTTCTGAATAATTCCACCCTTCCAATGAATAATTTTTTTTCATGAAAATTTCACTATTTTAAATACCTAATATACTATTAATTGCTCTCTAGGCAGAAATTTTGAAATTAAATATTAGAAAACATTTTTGTTGTAGGTGCATAAACATATATGAAGACTCCTTTAATTTTCATTTTAATTTAATCCCTCTTTGAAAGAATTTTAAATAAAGAACTTCAAAAGGCAATACTGTATTGATATATTTTGTATGGTTGTGCCCTGGAAAATAAGATTAAAAGTATATGAAGAAGGCCTTAGGTTCAAACAAATCCATCTTTTGATTCTTGATATATCTCACAAATAAGTACATGAATTCAACATGTTCTTATTGAAAACATTACATAAATACTTCATACAAAATGGAAAAAATTGGTAGTTTTCCGTTATGCATCTGGCATGCATTTTGGTGGTACTATTGTAATAACATACGAGTGTTGGTTTAATTATTCTTGTTTACGCACGCACACAAACACACACATAGTCCCCAGATAGTGTTATCAATTGGTCTTGGATGAGTTTGGCCTCTCTTTCACAGGGGCCCAAAAGTGTGGTAGATGCATAACAGAAAAAGTACCAAAATTTTGTTTTGAAAATTAAGTCAAATTTTAATTTAATTTATATACAGTACAAAGTTCGAGATCCAGACCACAAAAACACCAATAGCCTTTCACCCCCTTTTTTTAGGAATTTTCTTTCTTTCTGGTATGTTTTATGCGTGCACTTTTTATCGCCAATCTCATGATACATAGCCAATAAAGTAGAACAAGGTAGAGTTAAGCGAGGTTAAAATTATACTTTACTGATTTGAAGGAATTTCATTTAATATAGCAGACTGTGACATTCCTCAACTTTCTGATTTGATCCCGGTTATTATTTTTTGCAGGCTGTTATTATTACAGCAATTTTACAAAAATTAAAGTCTTAAATTTTCGATTATGTCGAAAACAGTTTCTGATTCTGGAGATAACACGATCTACAGAACGAAAGCACTTTTTGATGTCCATTAGACCAAAAGTGGAATCTATTATTCCGTTATTCTTTAAAACATCCCACTCGCAAAGAATAACAGAAAAAGTATTCATTAGGCTAAAAGTGACAATCATGACAAAGTGGTGATTGAATGGGTCAGACAGTGTCGCAGCAAGGGCATGCCATTGATGCGTCCAATGCTAATGGCTCAAGCCAAAATCATGAAGAAATGAACTCAAAAACTGAGCACACATATTCGACAGGTTGGTTAACCAAATTTAAAAATCACCATTCTATAAGGCAATTGAAAATTTCTGGTGAAAAAGCTTCAGCTAATACTGAAGCTGCTCAAATATTTGCAGATGAATTCATTGAACTCATCAATAATGAAAATTTATCTCCAGAACAAATTTACAGCACTGATGAAGATAGTCTTTTCTGGCAATATGTACTGCAAAATACCTTGGCAACCTCTACAGAAAAGGTTCCGATTGGTGTCAAAGATTCCAAAGTGAGACTAACAATTTTAGCAAGTGCAAATAGAGGAATGTACAAGTGTAAACTTTTTATAATTGGAAAAAATATGCAACCTGGAGCATTTAAAGGAGTAAAGATTTTCCCCGTTATATATCGTGCAGACAAAAGAGCATGGATGACACAAGCATTAATGAATGACTGGTTTGAAAATCATTTCATACACAAGGCTTGGCAACATTTGAATTTGGTTGGTTAACCTGATGATGCAAAAATTGTCCTGATTGTAGACAATTGTTCGGCTCATATTTCACTTAGTGAAAGTATGAGCCGAAAGTGAAAGTCAAGTTTTAGTGAAAGATAACTCATCTGTTATCTGCTTAGCCTACGGATATTGGAAAAGTGCACATGCTGAAATGCAAATATAAAGTAGCATTTTTAAAATCTATGTTAAATTTCTTGAATAATGGCAAGACTACTCAAGAATCTTTTGAAATAATTTAGCATAAAATCTGCTGAGTGGAGCATGGCAAGACATGGCAGGATGTGTTTCCAGATACTTTAAAAAATTCTTGGCATAATTTATGGCCAGGTACCATATTTCCTGGTGAGGATGATGAAGATGATAGTTGCGAATTTGACGGTTTTCAGATATTGCAACTGAAGATGAATTTTCCAGTTAATGGATTTTGTAAAGAAATATGGAGAAGTGGTAATAAATGAAGTTGATATACCAAAAGTTTTTCATTGTAATGACAATGCCTCAGTCATCAATCAACAGACAGTGAAATCTGTATTATGGTTCTAAATCCAGAAAATACCACTACTGAAAGCAAAGAAAGTGACAGAGAGGTTATTAAAAATGAAAAAAATTCAATTGAAAAGTTAGTTGAAATTCTTGACACAGCAATTATAGGATTTGAACAATGGAACTTTGTAACTGAACAAGAAATTATGTTTCTCTATAGAATTACAGAGAAAGTATTAGGATAAAAGCATGAATCAACTCAAACAACTTACATTGAACAAAATGTTTAATAAAGTAAAAATGGTACACAGCCAATAATGTATAGCGGATGTTATTAAGCTAGGCTAAAATTATTTTTACTGATTCTAAGGAATTTCAGTTTATGTAGCAAACTGCGCTGCTCCTTAATCTTCTAATTTGATCTAACTTATTATTTTTTGCAGACTGTTATCATTACAGCAATTTTATAAAAATTAAAGCTTGACTGATAATTTAATATCTGGAAAAATCCCAACTCTGGAATTGCCAAAGTCCTGAGAAATCTGGATCTCGGACTTTGTACTGTATACATACTTTTAAAATGTTTTATTTCAGAACACACGTTAAAAATGACATCTGGCTGAAAATTGATGTCTGTATCAGAGCTAATATCACTCCCATTAATCAATTACTAGTTTAAAAACTCAGGAAAGACATAAGATAATAACATGACAATTAATACATATTCCTTAGAGCAATATTATAATAACATGGAATGCAGCAGTTGTTAATACAATTAGAGGGAATAAAACATAATTTAAAAGAAAAGTATTCAAACAATTAAAAATAACCAATTATGCTACAAACAGAGCAAAATAAACAAATACACATTTTATTATTTACAAGTTTATCCATTCTCTTAGAAAACAGCTGACTGCTTCATTATGTATCAGACTTGACAGTGCTGCTATAATTGTAGAACCTCAAAAGCTATTCAGTAACCAGTTACAGAAGCTACTAGCTGGCAAACTTTTTTGCATGGCAGCAGAAGAATGGCTATTCTTTTGGATAAAGTTATTCTGAAGGTGCTCCACATCAGATTCAATGCCTAAGTATTTGTGTGTTTTACTATTAAATACATGATACTCATTCAATGATCACACTTTAGTAATGGCATTTAGAATCAGAAAAATTATTAGAATATAAGCACATTTTAATACAGTACAAAGTCCGAGATCCGGACATCCAATATCCGGACCTCAAAAGCCACAACCTTCTTTTTTTGCATGCTTTATGCATGCACATTTGATTTTTCCTTCCATAATAAAACACATAGTGAGTTCCAATTCTTAATTTCACTTAGGCACTAAATAAAATACCTTGTTATTGAAGAAACAATTATGTAAGCATAAATTTGTGAGGTTAATAATTTGGCTCCGTAGCTGCGTGTCTGCTTGGTATACATCTCAAACTGAAACATTATACATAGGAACAGCATTGATTTTACCCCTACTAATACTTTATATCCCTGATGCCAATCTGGCAAATCTGTTATTTATTACATTTTGCTTTCATCCCCAAATGTCTATCAATGCATGACAACTTCAGTAATGACTCATGCAGCGATGTCTAAACATTTTTTTTTAATTAGTAAATGGATAACAGAAATATGGCAACCTTTTACACTGACATTACGCTTGGCAATGATTACAGATTTAAGTTAAATGTGCTAAGAAATGTTGACAAGGAAAAATTTAACAAAAATTTCTTCTCATACGCTAAAAATTGATTTTATTAATGAAATTCAAAGGCCAAAGATTACACTTAGGGCTATTTGAATTAAAAACAATTAATATGTTATTCACACAAACGCAGAACCAGTCTCTTTGCTCTTACGGCCACACCAGACAGTAGAATTAAGGGAAAACAAAATTTTTGGAATTTGGAGAAGCACCAAGTGGCAAAATTAAGGGATGACACATTTTTACAATTTAAGGAAAGCACTGGGACCCAAAGTTTAGAGGTGGTAAAATTTAGAACTTAGGAAACTGTTTTGTAGCAGAATGTAGGACCCGCAGAGACTGCATCAAATGGTAGCTAGCGCCGGCCTTAGATAAGCCTTAAGTATATGTGGGAGTTTATTTATTCAGAACTCAGATTAGCCTTAAGCATGTGAAAGAAATATACGTAGGTATAATAAATAAACTAAGAGAATTCATGCTTAATTCAGTACGCAATAGAAACAAGACAAAATTTAGCAGAACAACTTGTCTTTTATCACCAATCTTATGATACACAGCCAATAATGTATAGCGGACGCTATTAAGCTAGACTAAAATTATTTTTACTGATTCTAAGGAATTTTAGTTAATGTAACAGACTGCACTGCTCCTTAATCTTCTAATTGGATCTAACTTATTATTTTTTGCAGACTGTTAATATCACAGCAATTTTATAAAAATTAAAGCTTGAACTTTTGATTATGTCAAAAAGAGTTTCTAATTTTGGAGCTTCCAAAGGATCTGCAAAGCATTTCGATGTCCATTAGGCAAAAAGTGGAATTGCTGCAAAAAATCGATAAAGGCATATCCGTCTCAAAATTATGCGAGGAGTATGGCACTGGAAAGTCAACTGTATATGACATAAAAAGGAAAAGGAGCTTTTTGTATTTTTTGTGGATTCCAACATCCCACTTGCAATGATTAACAGAAGAATTGTTCGTTACGCTAAGTGACGATCATGACAAAATGATGATTGAATAGGCGTCACAGTGAGGGCATGCCACTGACAGGTCTAATGCTAATGCCTCAAGTTAAAATATTTTATGGAGAAATAAACTTAAAAGCTAAGTGTGCATATTCGACAGTTTTGTTAACCAAATTTAAAAATTGTCATGGTATATGGCGGCAATTAAAAATTTCAAGTGTCCTAACATCAACAGACGGCAAAATCTGTAATTATGGTTCCAGATCCAGAAAATACCACTACTGATAGTGAAGAAAGTGGTAGAGAGGTTGGTGAAAATGAAAAAATTTCGATTGACAAGTCAGCCAGAATTCTTGACACAACAATTACAGGACTTGAACAGTGGAACTTCGTAAATGAACTAGAAATTCTGTCTATTTATAGAATTAAAGAGAAAGTATTAGCACAAAAATTGAAGCAACTTAAACAATTTACATTGAAAGAAATGTTAAATATTAGCTTTTTCTTTGTAATTTTGATACCCATTATCAGGGGTTCTGAATCGGTGGCATCGCACCAGTGTACGCAAGAAGCAAGATATTTTACTATTAATTCAAATAAAATCCTACATCTTGATAAGAATTTTTTTTAACACTTATAAATTTATGCAATCTGAGTTATTTAAGAGGTGGTGGTAGTAATACTTTGTAGTGGTGGTACTAAAAGGTTTTCAATTTTTGTTAGATGGTACATGTTATCAAAGGTTGAGAAACGCTGCTTTAGATCATAAATGCTCTTTATTTCAGAAATTTCATATTTTCTGCATGCCATCTTACTAGATTTAAATTGATGATCTAATATCTGGAAAAATCACAAATCCAGAATCGCTGTGGTCCCAATGAGTCCGGATCTCAGACTAAGTACTGTACAAATTTATAAAAAGAATTAAGCATCTAAAAATGCATAATTTTATTTTGTAAGATCCATTACGTGCCCAGACACGTAAAAACTCCAAATTATCTATTTAATATTTTACTCTGTTCAGAACATTTATGAAAATACTGATAATGGCTTAAAATTGATCTCTGTTAATGCATATTGTTAAGAATATTGTACTTAGATCGGTAATTTTAACAGGATTACACGTAAAGCTGTTGCATTTCTTTTGTAACATGAAAAATCTAAAGAGATGCTATACGAGAAAAGTAAGAATATTGAGGCAAATGCATTTAACATTGAGTAATTGGGTGTCTCGGTATTTGGGCAAGATATTGCCAAGCTGACAATGGGTTTGGTGAAAAATCGCCAAAAGTCATTGTAATGACCACTATGTTAGCTGTAACCGTAATTCCACTCTCATATTGCTTTCCAGTAATTTTGAGAAGCAGAAAGCACTAAAATATCTCGGCAGCTGGTTGAAAACTATTTTAGGCTGAAGAGAGAGCATTTGTTCTCAGTTGCTTAGTTACTGTTATTGCGAGTTCTTAGTTCCGCATGAAATGAGATAGCTGAGCCCTTTAGATGTGCTTTGCATTTGCATTGCGTTTAACGTTCTTAATGTTTAACATTAATTTGATGTGTAACTACTGGTTGTACGCTGTGATAATGTGAACTCTTGCACGAGTATTTCTGTGGAAAATTCCAAAACATTGAAGTGTTTATTTTGATAAAATAAATTTTTACTGACCTATCATCGGACCTGTGCACATTCAATCTATTACGAACCCTTATGCAAGCAATAGTATTTGTATGTTTCCAAATTAAGTGCTTTGTTAAATGCATAGCTTTTATTTTCTATATTTTTTGCATGGATTACTTTATATTTTTGGATTTATTAAAAGAAACAAAAATTACACCCTCAACTAGCTCATGTAGTATGTTTCTTGTTAAAAATCAAAATCATATTATTCTGCACGATTTATCTTCCATCCTACAATATGCAAAAATAATTTTGAAAAGTTTTATTAGAATTCAAAATTTCTTCTCTAAGTCATTTCTACTAAGAGACCAAAGTATCCATACACTTTACTTACTTTTACTTTAAGTTCTTTTAGATTTAAGATTTAATGAAAAATACAGAAAACAAACATAGAACACCCTCAGAAAAGTATACATTTCTTATTTTAATCCATATAACAGATAAATAAAATAGACTACAGTAACAGTATTCAGCTACTGATATGAAATACTACTTTTTAATTTACAGCCCGGTGTTAAGTAGAAAAAAGGCTTCTACATTAAAAAAAAAAAAAAAAAAAAAAAAAAATGGTACTTTCATTAGATTTAGTGATGATCTGTAATGCATGAAAGCTCTTACTAACATACATATTATATTTCCTGAATAAAAAAATTATAGTTTATATTTAGGGGTAATTAAACATTATCATTTAATTACAGTTGGAGCCTCATAGTTTATAAAAGGCAGTAGAAAAATAAAGTATTGATTAAAATAAAAAATTGTGATTAACTTCAAAGCTTCTAAACTACAATTTACTTAAGAAATTACATATTTCTTACCCTGCTGTAAAATGTAACTGTTCCTGGATTATTTGTGCTGCCTAAGGAGGGGCTGGAATTAACTTCCACCAATTTGTACCTGATTTGCTCCATAATGTTAGCATCAAAAAAATCTTCTGTTTTACCTGCAAAACAAATCCATTAGTAAAAATATACTAGGATGCCCAAAATAAAGGTAACAAACACAAATTCCATATTATCTCAAAAAGTTCAGCGGCAATTTTAATATTAGTGCACAAATATTTCACGAGGAATCAACATAGCAGTTCAAAATAAAAAGAAGAATGATATATCTAATGGCTTTCTTACTGCATCCTACACATGCTGTACTGAATCAAAGTCCAGAGACCTAGCAGACTATTCTCCCCTTCAAGGTAATTTTGTAGCAGCAGAGCTTTGGATGCTGGAGCAATGCCGTACATGAAAACAAGCTGGCGTTAAACAACAGAGTTTCAGACAGGATGCAAAGTTTACCCTAGAGCAACATGAATAACATCCCTGCTTCTGAAGACATTTGCAATAGATTGCAAACCATTCAACATAATAGCATCCTTTACCATAATGATCACTTTCCCATATATTAGAGGGACCATAACATGTCACATACCCTAACCAAGTGAAAACGGGCCTGAGAATTAATTTGCGTAGAATATTCCAATTCATTACATAACAGGACTATAGTTGTAAGCAGAAATGACTTTTCCAGTTTTATGAAAGACTATCTTCTGATAGAACAAAATTTAGGTTTAGGTTATTCAATGCGGACAAAGCCATGGGGCTTACTGCACAAGCATGCATTTATGGGAAGCTCTCTGAGCAAAGCTGGCTTGTATTCATGTTACACAAGGGGGGGGGAAGTTCCTTGGTAATATTTCTATAAAATGTACATTTAATTCTAACTACTTTCAACTATCAGCCATTTCTACTTTCATTGAAAAAGTCCATCTCAATCTATCTTTCTACACAACTATAAGAACTCATTCTATCAATATTTAATGGATTATAATAATAACTTTACATATGAAAACTGAACTCACAAAAACATAATTTTTCTATTTGCTGAAAGCTACCAGTTTTGACCTTCATATCAAATATGTATGCAAATTACATTTATCATTCAAAATTGTATATCTTCTAATTTTTATATTATTTATTTGTTTATAATACTATTTTTTTTTTTATTTTATTTGAGAGGAATGTTGGAGAATATGTTTGTTACCTTAATTTTGAACATCAGAATACATATAAAATTAACAACACAATTATTATGCATATGCATAACAAATGCTACTTGTGATTTTCATAATTTTCTAGCAACATGAAGCTCTTGGCATTATATATTAACTCTGTCCTCTACAACATTCTTTATTTAATGATAATATTTCATTTATTATTATTAAATATAATGAAGCAATTGAAACCTTTATATATCAGTCAGCTAAAGTATTATGATTACACGATGCCTATGCAGCACATAAATGTGCTGGCCATCCAATTGGATATACAACTGATAGCACAATGCAACAATCATTATTTGTTAAAGTATGCAAAAACAATATATCTATCCAAATTTCACTAAAAAATTGCTGCTTTGTTTCTAATCCACATAATCTGAACCCATAGCCAGATAAGGTCCACAAACTTTATTGTGATCAAAAGGCAAAAATTGTGCCTGTCCTGGCCTAAGCCTTGAGCACTCTATAAGTGACAATATGAAGCTACAGTTTTGTACAAGTTTGAATCTCTTACTACTTTTAATGCTGCCAGGCCAGTAGGCCCTGGTTCAAATCCCGGAGAAGGCATGGGCATTTGTAAGGAGTATGTAAGTTTTCCCAAGTTCTCTGGTCTGATAAAAACCACATACTGGAGTAATTCATTCAGTATTATAGCTTCCAAAATATTTCTCTGCTAAGATCAAGTAAAGTTTCTTATCAGACATACACGTATAAATACATGAAAAATGGAAGTTCTGTTCACTGCAATAATAACACAGTTTAGCTGACTGTTCAAAAATGAATAACTACATATACATATGTAACATAAAATAATTTTTTCTTAAAAAAAGAGGCATTTAAAATCCTCTTACTTATATTAAAACTACTATTTTGTGATTTTTCTGCTTGTTATTCCCAGAAAAGAGCATTTTTATGATTTAAATTTTTGTTGTGTATCATGTAGTAGGATTAAAAAAGTTTGGAACTATATCCAACCTTCATAACATAAATACATAGTTAAAATAATTAAACCTTCAAACATTCTACCATCTTTCCCCTCTATAGTTAAAATGGTTTAATTCATGAAAAATGATGAACTCTGCATGAGAAAGTGTTGTCCAATGATTAGCTCTTATTACTTTGTGATTTAGGAAACATTCAATTTCTTTAGGGTATGGTTAAAAAGGTGAATACCTCTAATCATGAATACCTGTAATCTGTGTTGATTTTTGGATGTAAATACACAAAATTTTTCAGTAACTTTTTCTAAAATATTTATGCAAAAAAAACTTTTTCAGAAAAATACAATGCATTTCAGTTGGAAAAGAAAAATTATTTCATTGTTGAAGTAATTTAGCATCCCTTTCTGTCTACTATTTGCCTTTTGTACTCATGGAATAACTGTACTGAAAAAATGCAGTAATTCAGTGTTTATTAATTCTAATGTGTAAGGAAGTTTATGCACTCATAATTACTTAATTCTGAATTTCCATTGATGAATACAATTAAATTTAATTTTTAATACAGTTAAGTTAGTTATAAAAAAGTTTAAATTAGAAAAGGGAAACTATTAACTATTATAAAGGTATGAACAATAATCTGCTAAATTCTCTAATTTATGAAACACATAGTCCAAAACTATGTGGACTAAGTTTCAAGAAATCTATTGTAAAACTTAATTTAACACACTCCAGAATACAGCTAAATTTGACTTTTTTCAGAATCTGATAAAAAACTGTTTTAGATGTATTTAATAGAAAGAACAGCAAACATTTAAACCACAATAGCATAAACAGTAATGTGTTATGAACTTGGGCAAAATGACAAAAAATTTTATCTTTTACGGTATTGTGGTATGATAAGAGTGAGAATTATAAATGAAAGTTACAAATATTTTGTAGATTAATTTTTAAAAAAATCTAAAAATACTAAGAAAATAGATATAGTTTATTTATTAGCAAGTTAAATAAAACTAAGACTCATTTAAATTATTATGTTATGAAGCGAATATGTTATAATGAACTATATTGTATTTCCACTGATGCTAGAAGCCCTCGAAAGATATCGACTTTACTCCTTGCGACGATACATTTAGATTTAATAGAATAAAGGCAATTCTGACTCAGGCACAGACGTATATACATCTTTCAACATGAGTCAGTCCGGATTATAACAAGAAACTGTAAGAAAAAAAGTATAATTTTACTTTATAGCACTATATTTTACAAGAGAATAGGGAAAAAAGACAGAAAGAATGGCCAAATAATAAAAAATTGTTATATTTGAAAAATTTCAATTATTATACACATAAATATGATGCCAATAATTTTCCTCAATGTGTTAATTCAGAAATAGTCTTATTAATAATATATTTACTATAAAAACCTTCCATTAATGAATAAGATGTTAAATGAACATGTTAATTTGAATGTTACACGTATAACACAGTATATTTTACATTGCCTATATAGAAGAAATGTGTTATTAAAAATTAACTACATAGAAGGAAACTAAAAAGAATGAAACTATTCTACGCATTTGGTATAATGTTACTGTTTTTATGTTAGAAGACTGGACAGCACTTCAAAAAAGTCACTTTTTATATTTTTACTATCCATTTTTGCTTTGAAGAATAGTAGTAGAGTTTCAAGAAATTGACCATTAGAAGTCCATAGTCTTATCTACACTTATTCCAAGGACAGTATTACAATGGTTTTATATACATAAAACATTGTGGTATCAGCATTAACAAAAGAGTAGGCAATTAACCAAATCTGTTAATTTTTGTTTACAAAATACACCTAAATGCATGTTTAACTGCCTTCTTATAAGAGAAGACATATAGAAAAGAAGTTCAAAATTCCATCACTCTGCAACAGTGCAATTATTATAAAACAATAACTGTAAAAGATAAGGTGTTTAATGTTTTATTTATTTTTTAATTTACTTTAAGGGGGGAATGTATCTCAAAGTACAACATAAGATCTGAAAAGCATAATCTGTAAAAGATTGATTAAAATTTATATAAAAAAATCGAGTAAAATTAATAAAAGAAGCGTAGTAGGACAGAAAAGAGAATGGAAAAGTACTACCACTGTTCAAAAATGTTTGTAGCAGAAATAAAATCTCTAATATAAAATAAAATTTAAAGAAATTGCTAGCCATTAGATGGAGAGATGCTGCAGTAAGCATCTAAAGTACAAGATCTTGGCACACAAATATTTGAGTCTTTACGATCACCATTTAAAAAAATCACTACTACAACAAGTTAATTTCTTCATACCTGTAAATTCTTGCTAATAACAAACTAGGTAAAAAAAAAAAAAAAAAAAAAAAAAAAAAAAAAAAAAAAAAAAAAAAAAAAAAAAATATCATGGATTAGTTTTTGTTAATCGTATCTTAGTCTTATTACAATAGAATTTTAAAATTTAAATTAATCAAGAACAAAATCTAAACTGTCTTGATCCACTTTCTACATATTCTGAAATACTTCTCTTTGAATAAAAACTTGATTTTGTAGCAATTTCAAATAGCTGTTTTAATAATAGTGGTAATAAATTCCATCACAACACTTTAAGGATTATTCTGTACACATTTCTGTAAAAATTTGCTGCAATGAAAAATATCTACTGGCAGTACTATTAGTTCAATAACATTGTTTTTGTGTGCAAAAGCACACAGCATCTAACAACAGTCAATCCATTATTAGAACCAGCAGTCATCAGAAGAATAAGAGAATCATTCAGTAAATACATCTCAGTCTACCAAAATTGGCGTACTAAGCAAACTGTCAGCCATAATTGCCAGACAACCCCCCAGTATTCATTCACAAATGACTCATCATCAATTCATATACTGCATATGATACAAATTTTGAAACAAAATGATTAGATGATGCATGACTACTTCTGTACCAAGATGCAAACAGATAAGCAGGAAGAAGCAGCTAAATCTTCTTAGAAGGAAGAATATTGCATCCAAATGGCAACATCAATCATAATAAACTGTGAATAAGTTTCTTTCTATTACTGAGCATGCCTTTCATTCATTTAGGGTGAATGTCTTTTATACCACATAGAAGAAAAGAATGTCTGTTTTTTCTTTTTGGAAATCTACTTACCTAGCAATAGTAAGCAAAAGTACGGTTAGTACCATAA